GCATCGCGACGACGGCGACGCCTCTGACGACGACGTCGACCCGAGGGGGTAAGGAAGAAGGGTTGCGGGGCGTGGGCGAGAGGGTGGGAGCCGTGTTGCCAAGAGTAGCGGATGCCTGGCGTTCCTAAATCCTGACGGCCGGCGGGGCGACCTAATTAGCGAAATACTCGAGGCCCGGACTGCTCTCTGTGTTTGAGCCATCGACGTGGAGCCTGGTTCCTTCTTTCATCGGCCCGCACTTCCGCCGTCGTTTAGCCGCCACCCCGTCCCGCCGCCGCGCCCTCGGGGCGCCCGCCCCCGCCGGCGGGCCTCGCGAATGCGGGGCATCGTTTTCCAAATACCGGAAGACGCCCTCGGAATTCCGACGCCGCGTAATCGGAACGCCGCTCTGAGCGTCGCCTCTTCGTTTCGCCGCTTCCGTCCCGAGCCCGCTTCCGCGCCACCCTCTGCAATCCTTCTCACTTGTTACTTTCCCGGTCTTTTCGCCGTTATTCCGTCCTCGTCGCGCGGTCTCCGGCTCCCCGTGTTTTTCTCGCCCTTCCCGAGTTTTGGGAATTTTAATGGGTCCGCGTGGAGGTGCACAGCGCCCGGGAATTATATGTCGCGACCTTGACCTTCATTTATATTTATGCCGCGCGCCTTTACTGTCACCCGATTCTTTCGAACGATAACAATGTGACTCTGCCGTAATTCGTTACGAGAACTCTCCTGTTCGATGGTTCCTTTTGGACCTTTTTATCCTCGTGATGCGTAAAAGACAATGCGACGTCGATTATATTATATACGACGATTACGTTATATAAGGTCACAGCCCCGGAGCACGAGGAGCCGGGGAGGTAAGGGATGAAAGTCCCCTGGAATGTCCCTTGGCCCAGGCGAACCCGACCCCCCGCCCTCCCCCCGGCAGATTATTGAGAAATCGTTGATCGCGCTGCTAAGTTCGACGTCTTCGTTATTGCGCCGGGATCTACGCGAAGACACCGGAAACGACAATTTTTTATAACATCTCCGCCAAGTCAAAAAGGTGTAGAATCACGCAGTAGCGATAATGACGCCATAACGCTGACAGCGGTGATAATGTCATAATCTCCCGCCACGGTGGATGAGAATAGTCGCGTGGAGGGTGGAGATCGGGGTTGCCGAAAATGACGGAGGGTAATATTTGTGCGGGAGTTAGGGCAGGAAGAACTGGCAACCGGTGGGGGCTCTCTCTCTTTAAGGTATAAATACTTCCCGGGGTCGTTCGTGGCTTCGGCGCTCCTTGTAGAAGCTAATTGGTACTTCAGTCACCATCTTACGATCCTGGATAGTTCTTCGGACATTTTCTTGGGGAGGGCCGGAAGGAGTATGAATTTATCCTCAGGATTCCGGACGACCCTTGAAGGGTTACCGTGGTGCTCACGGTACTCCCAGTTGAAATTTAGCAGCCTAAGTGGTCCATTAAGACTCGTTCTGGAATCCCGGAGTCCTTCGAGGGCCACTCTAGGAGCCCGGTCCTTCGAGCGGCGGCATCTCTTAGGATAGGTGTCCTGTGAGAGCCTCGGTGGTCTGCTAGGCTGCCGGCCGAGTCTTTTGGCCGCCGACCGGGCATTAAATTCTGCGCGCAATTCCCATTCACGTGAAATAGATATCGGTGATTTTTATATTCTCCTAGCAGAGGGTCTTACCCATCCGAGGGTCTCAGAAATGCGAGGGGCCGAGGACCTCGAGGGATCCCAAAGGGCAACAATGCCAAAATCCTCTCAGCCTTCGCCGTTCTATGGCTTCCTCGGAATACGAAAGCCACCAGCCGGAATTTAATTCCGTAAAAAGATGCCACCGATCAGTATAACCTGGAATACCTCGCGTCGCGTTTCGAGATTCCTTACTGACCAGTCAGGTGTCAGCGCTCGACTATAATAATTCGACGATGCGCGCGTTGACAGAGTGCACTCGGAGTATGATCGATCCCGGCGGGCCGCGTCGCCGCGTCAAACAAGACTGTTCCATTAAACTTGACCGCGGCGGCCGCGGTGTTTTTACTTTTTCAATTCGACGGACTGTCCGGCCGAGTGTGTCGATCGTCCATCAGAGACCGGCACGCCGTCCATCGAACCGGGACCGTGTTCCCGGTACAGCTGCGAAGACGTCGATGAACAATGGGGTCCTCGCAGCACCGGCCAGGTCTACGCTCGTAAGACACACTTATCCATCAAGCACAGGCCGCGTCGCCGCTGTCGCTGACAGCTGTTTTGTTTAATAGCTCTGTTGACCGCGCGCGTTTCGCTGCTGATACCTGTCACCGGCCGCTGTTTAACCGACCCCGAAGTGTCGTCGAACCGAATCACCGCGGATTTTTATTCGGCCCCGCGAGCCGACACGCGTCGAGAGCTTCGCGGCGGTCACGTACGACTCGAATTTGTTGGAGAAACACTCTGGAATAGTGTTAAGCAATCCGAGGACCATTTGTTGCCGTCCGACGTACGCCCGCGTCCCGTTGCACATACTAAAAACTCGCGCGTTTTACCGAAGTTTTGCGCCCCGGAGTTCGCGGAGTGCTGCGTTAAAAAATTTACATTGCTAATATCCGATCTGTTCCGAGTCTCGTCGATCGACTTCGTGGAAAAATTCATCGGGATTTCGTCGATGAATTGTGTTGGAAATTTTAATACGAATTAGGTTGTTTTACGCTACGATTATCGAACCTGTCAAAACGATTGATTTCTGATATTTTTTTTTTACGATTTCTGATGTTACAGAAATGTTCCTCTGAGGAATTTTTTAATAAAGTTTTTTTTTCAAGCGTGTGTTTTAGTAGAAATTGTACGGAAGTAGTTATTGTGTTAAGTAATAAAATAATGAATTAGCGAAGTGACAAAATTGTGGCTCCGCGAACGCTCGTGGATATCTGTAGTATAATTAGCGCATTCGCCAAGTTTTAATGAGTCTGTCGGTAAATTTCGCATTGTCCTTTTATATCGCAGCCGACGGTGATAATTTCACTGCGTTTTATATAATTCTTGCTTATACATTTGTGTCAGACATTTAGTCAATTGTCCAGGATTCCTATCTTTCTTGTTCTTCTCATTTCTATGATATGACATGATCTTTACGAATTGTACGTTCGCTGGCGACAATATTTCTCAATTTTGCCTGTGAAGCTGCAGGGATCGAATACCGAGCACGGAATTATTTAAAATATTTCTGATGATCGGTATGGCTCAGGTATGGCAGTCGACGAATTAAGTAACGCCGGAATGTGTGAAATATTTCACCGGCGCCGAGCGATTGATTTCCGATAATACGTCTTTTTTAGACCCCAAAAAGCGAAGCGCAAACGTGGGGTCATGTGTGTTTGGTCTCGTACACGGCGAACACTTTTTGTAGGGTGCTAGACGAGGTGGAGCGACGGGGTTATGAACTTTTATGGGTCACCGTAAACTTCCTTCTTGAGGCGTCCGGACCGTTTCGAGTTCTTTAGTATTTCTAGGGCGCCGTGCACTGTTCATTTTTTGTTGCCGATACCAGCTTCAGAACCAAAGAGGATCGTTGAAATATTCACAGCGGGGTAATTTCCGAAAACTCCCACGTCATTTTACAATGAATAGCTTAAAAGGAAGTTCTACTGTAACTCGTCAAAAAGATCAATGTTTTTTTTTCTTGACATTTTGTTAAAGAATATATTCTTGGAAATATAAGTTAATTACAATCAAAAAGTCAATGCTTCTATCTCGAAACGCAGGCATTTTTTTAATTACCATTCTTTTTTCTGTTCTAGCCAAACGCATCCTGATTAAGAATCTTTTTCGTTTCTTCTTCTTTTCTTCGGTTTCAGACAAATGGCCGGAATCATGAAAGCCATTTTTAATTTTATTTGATTTTCTTCCTAAAAATTTCTAAATGATGTTAAAAGATGAACAAACACATTCGAAGAGCTTCGATGCAAAAGCTCGCATAGCTTTTTAATAGAAAAATTGCAGAAATCACGAAACGAAACGGATCCTACAGCAGAAGATACACCGCGGAATGGCAGAAATAGAAGAAAGTAAACTGTTTCAATTACAAAACCGAATCGCTGCACGACTATAAATCTTGTCATACTGATCCTCAAACCCGGACAAATACCCCATGGAAGGAAATTCAATCTATTGGAATCTCGATCTCTCGATTATCCCCATCGTCGACGGTATCAGTTATCCCAATTCGACGAAAAATGATCTCACCCGACATCCAGAGCTTCGAAAGCCGAGCTTTTTAGGCGGATCGGTTTCCGCGCCAGCAATTAACCCCCGGGATAACGAAGGGGTTCTGTCGTAGGCGTGGTAGGGAGAGTTGTGTCGTTGACTAAGTGCCGAACGGCGCACGGCATGGCTCGGGTTGACGAAGTATTGCCGTTTGATGGGACGCAGGGTGACGCTTGGCGTCATTAGTTATGGATTAAGACGCCGCCGGCGATTTCTGGCGGACACACGTCGGATTTAGGTCAGTTTGCCGGGCGTGTCGGCCCGATCGGGCTCGGATTTAAAGGACGACCGGTGGGAAACTCCTTTCCGACACGAGCGTCGGCTTCCCCAACCGGCGGAAATACGGTCTGGCTCGTTTGCAACCATCCCGATCTTTCAATTTATACATATACGATCTGCTATATTCTCTCAGCGATCCAACCATCTGCATTGTCTCCGTTTGATCGGTTTAAATGGCGCGTGAACGACCACAATTCGGCCGACTATCCCGCAAACGCAGTGTTGCTTACAATTGACCGCGCGCATTTATCAGCCGCGCTGACGTATACTAATCATCCCCTGGCACACCTAAACGCGTCTCACAAGGGCAGTCTCAGATGTGACCTATATTTGTTTGCAGAATAAGGATAATACGTCGCTGCTACCGAATTTTATGGGTTTATTACTATATTTCGTGTCGCAATCGATTGCGTCAAATTTCCTTGTTAGGTGTTCCCGGTTTTAGAGGGTTTATAGGGTGGATAGATTCATGGGGGTTCTTTGAAGTGCTGTACTCACCACGTAGAGGCCTTCAAGAGCTCCGAGAAGTGTCACTAACTCCACATTTTCGAAGCGGACGTCGGGCAGGAGCGCAAGTAGAGGACATCTGACTCCAGCCTTCAGTGCTCTGTTCACGAAAATTAACAAACCGATTAGCGAAATGGAAATATATGATCGACTATTGTTCCACGTGCTTAAAAATTAATTAAATCACCCTTTTTTTCACTTTTTATTTTCATGTTCGATAGACTCGATGGAAAAATATTCACGTTACAAAATGGAACTACGAATAATGCAATTAGGACATACTTTTAATAAATGAAACATTGATGCCCTTGGCATACCATTTTCTTCGCAGTTACTGCGATTAGAATATTTTCGACAGCAATAATTTCTTAGAATGGAAATAAAATTAATATTTATTGTGTGAATTGTATGAATTGTACGAATTGCATGAATTTGTTGTGTGACAAGAGATTAGAATTTTATTCCAATTTTAAAGGACAGAATAACATCTACGCTCAACAAGTTATTGTCAGAAATAACGAGTCGAAGTCGTCAAAGTACGGCAAAGGGTTAAAATTGTATCGATCGTGTGCAAATAATAAAGCCTTACTCCCTACTCTATAGATTTATTGATCGTTACGATGGTCGGAAGTGATTTAGTAACATTCAAAAATTGAAATAAAAACATCAGAGATTATACACTAACTAACGTACTAAGGTACTACAACTAAGAATGTTCAGTTTAAAGTATTAAGAAAAGAAACAAATGTCTGTTAACCATCTACATCTCGCAGTGCTTGCGCACAATTATTATTTATTCATAAAGATCCGCAGTCAATCGATCACCCACGAATCCAATCTCCGTTACGATCCTCGGTTTGTTACAAAATTGGTCGCGCTATCTGGCCTGTAATCTCTACAGAATTCAAAAATTCCTCGCGCTCGCAAATAAAACCGATAAGTACGCCGGAATCTCGCGGCGCGATTGAATTTCTGAACAGCGAACGCTCGCGAAACACCGAAAAGTTTCTCCATTGAGGAATACCGATCCGGTCGCGCGGAAACGTCTGAAAATCAACGGTTGAATTCCTGTTGTCCCGACGTGTGCCGACGTCGCGTCGGGCGGGCCCCTCCCCGGTCGAGCAAACGAGGAAACGGCGCGGGATTTCATTCGTCGTTGTCGCTCAGGTTCGGGACAGGGAATCAAAGGATCGCAGCCAATGTCGGCGAGAGGGTGCGACGCGTCGCGGTGCCGGCAAAGTTATTCTTTCCTCTTCATTTCGCGGCGGTATTGCGGCTGTCACGCTCGCGAGTGTCGGCGACGTATGCCCGGAATCCCCGGCAACATCGGGACAGCATGCAGGGACTGCGAAAGATGAGAGAGAGAGAGAGAGAGAGAGTGAGACCACGGAGGGGAAGGAGATTGGCGGCGGTGGAATTTCATTTTTCAAGGAAATTTCGTGTGGGCCGAGACTCGCGAGGAATTTCGCGGCCAGGAAAGGCCGGCCCGCGATTCCGGGGCCCGCAAAGTGGCTGAACTTTCTATGATTACTCCGCTTTCACCTGCGCCGCGCGAAGGAAGTCCGGCGAGGCGAGAAGCCCGGTTTTAAAACTTAATCGCAAATAAATATTCATCCGTCGGTTTTCGCTCGGAGCCCGCATTCAGAATTTATTACCAGGCCACTCTCTTTCCAACTTTCTCTCCCCGACCCTCTCGCTCTCATCTTTCGGCCACGGTCCTGCGATTATAAATAGACACCGCTGATCCACACACACACACACGCACACATCCCACCCGGCGTATCCCTCGGCAAAACCGATAGCACCAATGAATCATTCAGGCGACGCTGCACGGTCAACCCTTCCACGATTCGGGGCTAACTATTCCGTGTATGTTCTTATAAATATTCACCGGCTCGATTTATCCGTTCTCCGCGAGACAGCGATCGTGCCTGAAGCTTCAGGGACGGAGGGCGAGCCTTCTAAGAGGTCGGGAACGCGCGGTTCAGCAGCTCCGGGGGCTGTCGTATCGATCACGAGTTGATATTTCGTGTAGCATTAATTTTGCAGCGCGGTAACACTTGTTTGAAAGTCTCTAACGGTGGACGGCAGCGCTCTTGGAGCGGCAGATTGGAGGATTTTAGCGTGAACGGCGTGATTTTGTCTTCGGTTTCGTCTTGTACCGATTGTCCAGCCAATGGACGTACTTGTTTTATCGTTAATTACCTTGTTCCACTTGTTAAACCATAAATATGAGAATGATAGTGACGGTAGACCGACTATTCAGGGCTTCATGCTTAATGGTAGGCTTTATTTTAACTGTCCGATCATATCGGACTAATACTACTGATTTTACCCTTTACAGTAATGTCTCCCTTATTGACGCTCAGATCGTCCACTAAAATGGATAATTTGGGAAGAGGAGATACGATTATTCGAGCCTTATTTTTATAGTTATAAATTGTCCGCAATCGTATCTCGTCTTCCCAAATTATCCATTTTAGTGGACAATCTGAGCGTCAGTAAGCGAGACATTACTGTACTTGTTTTATCATTAATTGCCTTGTTTCACTTGTTAAACCATGCCTAATGGTGGGCTTAATTTCCCCTGTCTGACCATACCGGACTAATACTACTGATTTTACCCTTTACAGTAATATCTCCCTTACTGACGCTCAGATTGTCCACTAAATTGGACAATTTGGGAAGAGGAGATACGATTATTCGAGCCTTGCGGCTCGTTTTTATAATCGTGGACAATTTATAACTATAAAAATAAACCGCAAGGCTCGAATAATAGTCCCTCTTCTCCCTAAATTGTCCATTTTTGTGGTCAATCTGGGCGTCAATTAAAGAGACATTACTGTACTTGTCGCAGGTTTTTAGCTACGGAAATACGTGCAGCACTTATCGTGCCTATTGCGGTCCCATTATGTTCCTACAATTATGTTTGTCTAACCAGACACAGGCTGGTACTATCCGTGATCAATTATTCGATTTTATTCAATCTGTTCGATTTCAAGCTACACTTTAATTTGTCTCGCAACAACGCGCACGCATCTCATATTTTCACATTTTCTCGCTGGTGATTGACTCGTGCCTGTCTCGTCTCCATTGTCCCCCGGTTCATCGATCATTCCATGTTTTGCCTAACGCTATTTTTTCTACCACGGTCAGCCGGCGAACACAATGAACCGGTTTCGATTCACCCGGTTGCCGAAAATTTATCTGGTGCGCGTGCACTTGATCACCGTTCAGTTCTCACGTCTGACTAGTAGATTCCGTTTCTACTATCCTGAATCTGAACCAGTGATACCGTAATACCTGTTATCTACACCGCCTTGCCATAAATTGATACTAGATATCGGGAACGTAGAGAGGCCGGTGCCGCGGCGAGCCGCGTTCGCCGACGAGGAGAAACGGCGAACAATAGTCAGACACCGTTGTAATCGGAAGCACGCGTGCCCGATAAATTTCGAAACAATTTTCTCCGCGGAGTAATGTTCGCCCGGTAAAACGTTGCCGCACATTTTCGCAACGTTTATTCACGCGGAACACCCTTATCGCGATATAAATTATTGTCGCGACCCGATGGAGATGTTACGTCAGCCTCGAACCGTGCTCGCTTTCTTGTGACAGCGTGCTGTGAATCCGTGATAAAGTTAATCACGCCGCTAGACCTCGCCCCCCCCCTCCTCCGCCCGCGAAATCTCCTTCCGCGGCTCCGGAGAAACAAGTAGCCCGAGTTTCGTCTAATGATCCGGTTGCCCGATCCGCCGCCAATTAAGCCCGCGCAATTAATAAGCAATTACGCGCGAATTAGCCTCGCCGCGTCCCCGTGGCGCCGCTTTTGTTCAAACTCGCGGGGACAGCGGCGTGCGTTTCGGCGGTGTCGCCGATCATTGATTAATTGCGATTCGATAATGAGTCCAGTGTTATTAAATGGATTCGATTATAATTATCACGGGGCGCGGGTTATTCTTTTATCCGGGACGCCTTCGTCTCGGAATTAATTCAGCGAACACGTGTACTTAATTAGCCGCGATCTTGATTCAATATTTATTACTAGACCGCGGATATTGTGCATTCGCGGCTTGAATGGACGGATGAAATGTTAAATAGGGAAACGGATCGAATGAAACCGAGGACGTTGATGCAATAATTCCAAACTTGCTAACATTATTTGAGGAAGAAACGAAATTGCATTAGAATACAATTAATGTTCTGCTATCGATGCAAACATTGTTTATTTTGCGCACAGATACACGGACTGTTTCTTACACGTTCGATGAACATTTATTTAGTTCAAACAATTTCATCATTAATTGCCTAATTTCAAACGTTGGCACATTGTATACCGTTTTAAAATCATCTCAGGGAATTCAAGCAGGAATTCGATGATCGCAAAGCTGACAGAATTACTTTTAATTTACCTCTCTTTTGAAGTTCCGAAAATAATTGTTCGATTTGAAATAGAACGGGCAATGTTGCAACGAATTAATAAACATCGCCTTCGGACCAGGAACATCCGTTTCTGTGAAAAATACATGAAAATAGCTACGAGCTCACCTTTGAACTCCTTTGGTGGCTGCCTCGGCGAAGCTCCTGACATCGTGATAGTCCATATTCAGCGGGCCGGTGGGACTATAAACAAGCCTTTTCGCGGGCAGATTGATGGGTAAAACCGCGCCGATCACGCCTAAAGCAGAATCGATCTGGGCAGCGGCGTACAGCACGGTCCTGAACGGCTCGGGTTCGTCGAAACCCGGCGCGCAGCCTGCCACGAGGATGATGCCATCGTAGTCGCAGCTGCAAATGTTCGTCTCGATTTTCAGCTGGCACGGCATCCATCTGAAAATGAGTCGAATCGCGTTAACGAAACCAAACGCTCGGATCGACACTCCTGTTGGGATTCGTAACATAGTCGCGCATGCATAGTCGTCGAGTGCGGAATATGCGGCGCTATGGCAACGGTGATCTAGAGAACCGGAAGAAGAGGCTTTATGGATCGCGGCTTCAACCCGAGACGCAGGATTAACTCTCCGTGTGGAGCGATTCATCACGCGGACTAAATCTAATTTGCGAGACGCAGCTTCGTCGCCCCTGGAATTTTCGGTGCTTTCGGTATCGCTTAACGCGCTCGCTGCGACGACGTAATCTCAAAAATTCGGCGATATCGATGGAATTTATCGAGATCCCTTGTCCTCGGAGTCGTTTTGCGATTGGAGATTTTAATTCCGAGGTTTTAATCTTCAAAGATTAACCTTTAACTCTCAGCTTTATTCATCGATTTTTCTTCAAAGATTGACCTTTAATTCTCAGCTTTATTCATCAATTTTTCTCAACGTAATTTTGAACATACATCATCTAGATTTGTTACTATTTTCGTTGTTCCTAGTGTAATAATTGTTTATTTAACGATATTGCCAAAAATTGATTAATTAGGTGATCATTCAAATAAATTGAATCGAAATGACCCGGTAGGTTGGTTAACCCCAATTGGTTAACCCTCATCCGTCCCTTATTTCGTCAGCTCACTTCGTTATTTGGTATCAAATTGATAGCGGTTTGAACATTAATAAAATGGAACGACGAGTAATTAACTTTCAAATCCGAGAATGAAAACTTCAGATGAGGAGAGACAAGGTTTTAACGGAGATTATCCAGGACGCTGAGAAAATAAAGCGATCTATAGCTTTAGTAGATTATTTCTTCAGTACCTGTGCGAAAACCGTGTCAGATCGACGCGAGGACCGAGAGATAATTAAAAATCCTCAACAGCGTTTATTAATTGCGGGAAATTGAGCGACCGAGATCAGCACACGAGCCCGAGCGTTTCCGAAGTGGAATAAATTTTAGAAATCCGCGGTGGAAGAGAATGTCCGTCCGTGTTTAGGTACAATAATTGATCTCCGATCGCGGTGATTAAATTCGGACGTATCGGTTATCCCCCAAATTGCGATTTCTAATAGCAGAACGCTGCGAACGATGAGACCGAGGCGGGAAATATACAGCCCCGATACATTAGAGTTTCCATTAGTGTAAACCCGAAGCTAGACAACCTTTCGGTTCGTATTTACGAGGCAGCTCTAGTTTCAATTAAAGTAATCAAAGTCCAATAACAATTTGAAATTCGCCGTCTCTAATTGTTGTAGATATCGCCACTAATTCCTGCAGCGAGATTAAATCGTCGTCGTAATTTATCGGCTAACGATGCTCGATCGATGAAAGCCGGGGCACGATTCCGTCGGATTGAAATATTTTTAACACTAGGACGACCTGGCTTGGCTCTATCTCGGCTATAAAAAAGAAATCGGAATACTTGAAAGAGTTCGATAATCGCTAATTCGACGAATGGAGGCCTGCGTTGTTGCAGTGACAGGATTTTTCGAACGTTTCTTTGTAACTGCTGCGATAAATCATAAATATGTTTAAAAGCTTATATGTACCTTGTCGATAAAGCATACTCGGACACAAGTTTACATGACATTTATTTTTCATCCGTTTGGCAAGACAAAGCGTAAGTTTGGCCCGAAACTTCCTGAACACCCTGTACAATGTATTTGCATAGTGGCCAACCGTGTTCGTTATGGCAGATAAAACGTTCGGCAGCTAGCGTCCAATAAACACTACAGGTGAGTATAAAAGCGGTATCGATTCACCATCGGAGAGCACAAAGAATGCTTGATAGCCGGCCGGTGCCGATGAAGGAACATTGACACAGCGAACGACTTAAGAGCTGCCTGCGCGAAAGTCTACGGCCAGATCGACGTCGGGACGTTCAAACGATACCTTCCAGCGAGCTACGACGATTCGATACGAATCTCGCGCAACATAAATCCCACGTATTTCCTGAGTGCTCCTGGCTACCGTCGCTAAGTGACCGTTCGATCGGAAGGATCCCCTTAAGATCCACCTTGAAACACGCTCCTGGATGCTCGACTATTTCGTCTTCGATCGAACCGACGATCGTCCGTGTCACTCTGATCAACGACCTAGGCGTTCGTCGTCAAAACTCCTTCCTCAATGTCTTTCTCTTCGTCCGATGCTAAAAGCTACCGTTCTTTCACTCCATCCGATAACCTTTCTCGGGCCAACTTCATTCACTTCAACCCTCCATGTTCGAATTTTTTTGTATGCGTACAAAAAAGCTCACGTAACGTGCAACTTGGAAATTAACCCCTTAACCTCGAGTTAACTCGAGCGTGCTAAACTGGCCAAACTGTGCACACTCGAGATAATTCGAGCGTCGTTGTACTTTATGTTGCTATAATTTTTCACACTCTAATGCAATCGAGAATTGAAAATAACAATGTGAAAGCAAAAAAAAAAACAATCGTTTTATTGATATTTATCATTTACATGGGATTGTAAGCTATAACAAGTATAAAATATATCCTTTTTCTACTTATCACTTACGACTTATGTCTTTCTTGTGAGCCGTTTTCCGACAGCGTGTTCATATTCAGATTCTGATTCGCTCATTTTTCAATATATATTTTACTAAAATAT